ATCACAATTACTAAATAACAATGTTTGCAATTTGTACTGTATCCTACTATATAAGACTTAGTAGTGGTGTTTGCTGTGGTGGAAATCTCCGTGGTATCCATGATGGGCCAAGGAAGACAAATCAGAATGGCCTAAGCTGGCATAGCCTGAATGTGCTACTGATGGGAAAGAAGCATAACCGTGACCGTGTCCAAAAGAGTGTCCACCATATACACCGCCTGCCAAGTGGCTGCTCAATCCACCGCTTAAACCAGTGGCATAACCATGGTGTCCGCCGACATGTACTGCTGTTGGTACTGACACTGGGACTGGATGGTGAACTGGAACTGGGTAGGGTTGTGGGACTGACACTGGGACATGTTGCGATACATGGACTGGCACATGGTGTGGGACTGGTACTGGCACTGGGCGTGGTACTGATACTGGATATGGTTTGTTGATTTGAACTGGGTAGGGTTGTGGCACGGATACATGCACTGGACGGGGTACATCAACTGGCACTGGTGTCTTGACTGGAACTCCTACAGTGCGAGTGATTGGTACTGGGTAAGGCTGAGGAACCGGAACGGCAACTCCTTGGTTAAGGGTGGTGTGCACTCTAGAGCTTGATCCTAAGTTGACAACTTGTCCGGTAGTCTGAGCACCAGAGAAGCCAAGACCAGAACCAGATCCGAAAGAAACAGGTCCTACACTTGCACCGCCAAAATCTCCAGCGCTGAAACCTCCATGACCAAAACTGCTGCTGCCTGAAGAAGTATAGGCACCTAATCCATGAGACGACAATCCACCTGCATAGGCAGATTCTCCTGAGGCGTAAGAACCACCATAACCACCATAACTAGCAGCGGGTGCATCTAAAATTCCACGTTTCACATTTACATCGCCGCAACTAGCTAAAGCTAATGCGGATATAAAAACCTAGAAGATAAACAATATTCAATTTTAGTTTTAATATCACAACAGCAAACGATTTGTTTTGACACACACTTAATTATTTAAATGAATTATTCACTTTTATCACTTACCACAAATGTCTTCATTCTTAAGACTGATAAGTTATTAACGGATACAGATGGTCGAATGATACCTTCTGCTAAATCTAACAAGCTTTATATACAACACCAAAATCATTTCTCCGTTTTTGGGATCGTGATATCTTTACAGGTTTCTTATTAAACACTTTCACTGGACCCCCGGGCTAGGTGCCGATAGGTTCATTCGACTTTTTTCTCAACATGTTTTGATCTTTATTAGATAATAATCAAAACTGTATCACATAATTTTTTAATAACATTTAAAAATATTAAATTAGCATTCAATTCTAATTTTAAACATTCACTGTATATCAAATCTATTTTAGTGAACTTTAAACGTTCAGTCATGGTGAAAATTTAATAAATTATTAATAAAACTTTGAAGTTAGTAACCACTTAAAAATAGTACAGAAATGATGGACCAGATGCTATAATAAAAAATGCCATGCATAAATAAATTCAAATATTCAAATATTTTGATTTGAATGCAATATTTTTATTTATGATTTAATACAGTACACTACACATGTGCATATTTTTATAGATCAACCCTTAATAACAGAATAATATGAGTAGGATCCTTTGACAATCTGTAATCATAATACACAATTATTTTAAATAGTATGTTGTATTATATAAATATAAATAAATGATTTTTTCATATAAAAGAAAATATATGCATACATTCGTAGATAAGAGAGTGAAGCGCATATACGAATGTGTGTATACTTATGAATATATAAATATAATTTCTTTTAATAAAACTGTAATTTTTATGTTATGGTTTTTCTTACCGTCAACAAAGTCGTGACGGATAAAGTGGTTAGTCCAGCGGCAGTTACAAGCACCGGCTTTGACGCTCTCATCACAACAATTCGAATTTCCCGAGCATGATTTTTAGCACCGAAGCTATTAGATCCTACCCAATTTGAATCATACACAGCATCTTGTATTGATAAGCCCTAATTCGTTGAAAAATGTATTTGATAAAAATTCAAGTGCGAACAAAAAATGAAACTTGTTTGGATTAGTTTTGGGAAGAAGTGCGTTTTATACATCGTCATAAGGTTACTGATAGGACACAAAATCGTTAAAGAAAAATTCAAAAAATAAAAAGTAAATTATAAATAGCAAGAATAGGGCTATATTAAAAATGCTCGTCTTATAACACAATATTTAAATAAAGTCGAACTTGTAAAATAAATCTTTTTTTCATTCTCTTCATAGTCACAAAAGATTATACCTGCAATGTAACTTCATTGCCAGCGATGCACATCGCAGCAATTTGAAGCAATACGTGGCTCAAGAAAAAAGCAAACATGGCAAATTTCACAGTTCCAAAATCACTCTGAAAATCGTATATTAAAATAAAACCCATTTTATTTTTTTAGTAAACTAAAGCCATACCTCCATCAAGTGGAATAAACCGGCACAAACGGTCAACGAACTAACACAAAATTGACTAAATAATGGGATAGAGTACGTAGTTTCAAACGATCTTACACACCTATAAAGAGGATTTAATCTACCGAAATTATTTTAATTAACTATTGAGATAAATTAATATCTTACTGTATAATATCAGCATGATGTTGTATACATTCTTTTAAATATAAATAAATTTCACGATCAATTTCATCACTGCTAATATTGCTTTCTAGCATAGTCCTTAGTTTATTGTATATTATGTTCCTTTTCTCAGATTTAGGTAGATCTTGCAAGGACAAAGTTACATCTGATGAAACTTTTGAACGAAGCATCAATCTACAATATTTATAGAATGAATATATATATATATATATATATATATATATATATATATATATATATGAACAAACTACGAACATTTATATATCATAAGTTTTATATCGACTCTTTCAACCTCAAAATCATCATGAGTAAGGTGACTCCTCTACTGATAATGATATTTAAAACCTACTTTTATTCCTAAACTTCCAGTCGTTATCATTTCAAAACAGATGTAAAAATTATTGTATAGTAATATAAAAAATACAGCTTAAATACGTGAGTATTTTATAATACTGATATAAAATATTTGTGTTTTACGGTGCATTTTTCTCCTCAACAAGAAAATTATGATTAGTAATTTTCGATATATAATTACATAGTATCAAACTTATTATTAAACAAGAAGTAACAGAAATAATTATTCAAGCGATCAATAGTAACTAAACACGACTGAAATAGCAAAATCAAAATACTAAAACTTTTACAAAATGAATACCTTTTCATTGCTATAATGTCCACAGATGCAAAAGACTTGTGAAGAATTTTAAACTGACAACGAATATGCAATAAAAATGCACAAAAAATGCCATCGGTAGCAGCAAGAAAATATCCACCATATACCAAACCAACAACTTGATACACATATTGCAGATTATATTTCCATCCAGGTTCTGGCGTCCACAAACCATAAACCTTCAAAAAATGCAATTGAAATTTGACTGTAATAATAATTTAATACATAAAAAAATTATTACCTCATACGGTAAGTAAGTTGTAACATTAATTGTAGAATTTACTCCTTCAATAAAAACGAATGTATCTGCAACAGAAATCGAGGTACCGCATGTACAAACTCCGCTAACTATTCCGCAAAAAACAAGCATTATAGTAATACTAGTCCTGATCGTCTTTTTAAGAGATTCCTCGTCTTGTCTGTATTTCAACATAACAAATTCTAAAACATCGGCCATGTGTTTCAACGCATCTCTATTCCTTATGAAGAACAACGCTTTTAATAAGCTAATAAGATGATTTACTGTAAACGCCAAATTAGTCATAAGCCTTTCTTTTTCATCAATCAGGTACCACGCTTGAATTATTTCTAAAATAGTGTACCCAAAAACAATCAAAACTTGAACAATAATGTTATACAAAAGACGAAGCGTATTAAATATTCTATATTTAGTATTATTTGGAGATGCAAAATAAAAGTCTAGACCTAGCAGTCTTAATGCCAAAAAATGGCACCAAAAATAATTCTTAACACTTCTCTCGCCAGACATTGTAAATATATTCTACAAACGTTACACATAGCTGATGATCCTTTACAGACGATGATACTTCAATTTATACAACTGCCATTATTTAATTTTGAATTGTCATGCCATTTATTTTAAATATAGGATATACAGCTAATACTTCGAAATTGCATATAATTGCAATGATAACCACATTATCGGATATTGATACAAATACTACTATAAGAAAGGTCTTAATATTAAATGGTTTTTTGGCTATTGCAAATAATGAAATAATTGCAAATTAATTCATCGGGTTAAAAATATTTTTCCATAAACTATAAGTTTTTTTATTCACATTATTTAGTAAGTTCAAACTATTTATTCATATTTGAACATTGATGTATTATACATACAAAAAAATGTAAGCAACTTTATGAATTTTTAAAAGATATAATAAAGTTTTTTATTCGCATTTTTCAACAGCAATTAGTTTTGTGATCTGTTGTTCAGTAATTTTATTATTTAGGCAAATTTTTAGAAAACAGACCAACGACTGACCTATCTGCATTTGGTAAGTTTTTATCATTACAATATTGTTAACACTTTCCATATGCTTTTGGTTTCAACGCGGCAATGCCCCAAAAGACAATTTTTGATAGAAAATAGCTTTTGACCTATATTTCCATAAACACAAAACCTTCTAAGCCCAACTATGAATTTAAATAGAGTACTTCGTAGTTCATAATATCATTTAAAATGATTCATATTACAATGATAAATCACAAAACAGAGATATGGCGTAAAATAGTCATATGATTTCTATTTCAACTTTTTCTAATCAATATACCAATAAATGAGATGATATTAACATATTTTAAATATAACATTGATTTATGATAATGTCGCTACACATATACTTAGCACGGTTATTCAAGAACATAATGAAGTTATATAATAATACCAATGCATCTATTAATTAGCGCCTTATTACGTTGTAATACGAGTAAGATCCTTTTGCAATCTGAAAATGGAAATTACTATATTAATTTTAATGATTACATTTATGAAACTAGCTGTTTCACTACGCTTTTATTTTTATTGTAATGAGTAATGAGTGACAATAAGTACTGACCGCAACAAATGTTGGTATAGATAAAGTAGTAAATTTTGCAACTGTCACAAAAACAGGTCTGCAGGCTCTCATCATTACCATTCGCATATCCAAGGCATACCGATCTGCTCCTAGACCTTTAGAACCAACCCAATTTGAGTTATAAACAGCCCCGTGAATTGCGAGACCCTAATAATAAGTTTTGAATAATTATCAAAAAATACGTTTTTGTAGGACTAGTGATTTGTACAAATTTATACACAGCTTGTAATGCTTGACATAGTCATTTTTGTAAGTTTAAAAAATTCACAGACCTTTAGGGTAACTTCATTGCCAACTAAACAAATCACGGCAATTTGAAGCGTCATATGGCTGAAGAAGAATAACGACATTACAAATTTGATGCTACCAAATTCGCTCTGAAAATAGTTGATTTTTATTCTCAATTGCTTCTTACATTTATCAGATAAAATTATTATATTTATATGCTGTACCTGTGCTAATTGTACTAAAGCTGCACATAAAGAAAACGAACTAACACATAATTGTCCAAAAAGAGGTAACGAGTAAACAGACTCGAAAGTCCTAACACATCTATTAATAACTTTTAATTAAATTTTAACAAAATATTTATTCTAAGACTAAAATTCTAATATTTAATTATGACTTACTTTATAATATCAGAATGATGTTGTATGCATTCTCTAAAATAAATATAGATTTCTAATTCGATTTGATTATTATCATAATAATTTAATAACTCGGTTTTGAGCTGTTTTTCTGCTATTTTTCGCTCTCCTGCTTCAGGTAAATCTTGTAAAGACAAATTTTGGAAGGTATCTTTATGTAGTCGATATAACATTCTAAAATATATCATATCAATTAATGTCATTTTAATGAACTGATTAATATATATATATATACACCTGTCTGTTTTTACACGGTAGATTGGTTCCAGGAGAAGCGGTGTAAAAAAAAACCGTGTAAAAAAGACATTGATCTTATACAAAAATGGGTGATTTGTTCCTAATCTCTAAAACCTATTAAAATTAGTGAAAAACAAGAATTTTTAAGAACAAGAATTCATGTTTATTTTATTAAATCAAATATATAATGCTTAGTGCTATTCACATTTGCTTTGACCAGTAAAAATTGTTTGTACGCGCTAAAGGGGAATTCACTTAAATCTTTAAGCTAGGTGTTCGCAAACTATCGATACTATCGATGCTTTCAGACTTTTTCTTTCATAAATACTTTTTTGTGACATGAACATACTTCGCAAAAATTAAATTTGACAAAAAGAATTTAAGTACATAAAATTTCAAATCGTGCTAAATGGAATAAAATCGTGTAAAAAAATTAAAAATATTCAATTTTCAAACCGTGTTATATCAAAACCGTGTACAAAAAGACAGTGTAAAAACAGACTTAGGTGTATATATATATATATATATATATATATATATATTTGAACATTTGAAAATCTATATAATTATTGTATAATTGCTTTGCGTTAACATTTCTGCTATTTCTAGTTCTGCTATTTTCGTAATACAACTCGCGGTTCATCAACATTTTGAAGCATAATTCCAAAATCTAATACTCAAAACAATATCTAGTTAGAACGGTTTAAAAAAATTACCTCTTCATAGCAATTATGTCCACATAAGCAAAAGACTTGCAAAGTATATCAAACTGACAACGCATATGCAGCATAAATGCACAAAATATAGAATCTGTAGCTGATATAAATAAACCTCCATAAACTAATCCAACAAGTTGAAATGTATATGCCAAATTGTATTTCCACCCTGGTACGGGTGTCCACAAACTGTACACCTTATTTATTAAAAAAACATTTATTTGAATAAATAAGATAGAGAAACCAATAGTTGTAACTACACAACTTACCTCATAAGGCAAATACGTAGAAACATTTTTTGTAGCATTTACACCTTCAATAAAAACAAATTGGTCAGCAACCGAATTAAGCGTTCCACAAGTGCATACTGCACTTATAATGCAGAAAAACATAAGCAATATGAAAATACTAATTTTTATTGCTGATTTCAATAATTCGTTATCTTGCCTGTACTTTAACATATCTCGTTCTAACATATCAGCCATATCTTTCAAAGCATTCCGGTTGGTGACAAAAAATATTACTTTCAGCATGCTTACTGTGTGACATAAAGTGAAGCATGCATTTGACATGAAACGTTCTTTTTCGTTTATTAGCAAAGGCATTTGCACCATTTCCAAAATAGTGAAAGCAAAAACAACGACGGATTGTATTGCAAAATTGTATAACAAACGTATAATAATCCACAATCGCTCACTCGCCGTCTTTGGTGATTTAATATAAAAATCGACTCCTAAAATCCTTAGAGCCAAAAAGTGACACCAAAAATAATCTTTTCCTTGCCAATTGTTCATCCTGCACACAAATAAGTAATTAGTGGCTATTCTTCTTCAAGAGTAAAAGTTCTTATTTCACATACTTACATATGACAAACATGCAAACTTCTAGATATAAGCAAAAAATTTTGTTTTAACTTTTGGGTATTTAAGATTATTTTTACGAGTGCGTGAAACATATGTGTGTGTATTTGCATGTAGCATTAACATAAAGTAAAATACAACCCAGTCGCCAAATGTATTACTTAAATATTCTTATAATTACAGGCGCCAAAGTTTAGAACAGATGACTACTCCTACATCGAAATTGATGTATCATTACTTAATTATTAATCAAGGTAATTAGCTGACTGGTCATGATCGCAACGATTCTATATATAATAACCACATTCAAAACAATTTTCATTGCGAGTTCTACTATATATATATATATATATATATATATATATATATATATGATTTAGTAGTTAATTTTGATGTTGAAATATATAAGTGAGTTCTTGAGGGCGATACATCAAACAAAGAAAAGCCAAAGATTTATAAAATAATCTTTATTTCCAAACGTTTCGACATTCAATTTAATGTCATCATCAGTGGATATTACGTTGGTTGGTTACATATAGAGAAGTGTACACAGCACTAGAGATTGGCACTAACATTTATACAACTAACTTGTCAGCACTATGCATTTTTTATATAATTTTTTTGTATGATGTTAACAGAAAAATGATAGTTTTATTGAACAAAAATGTAAGTAGAATTATGTAATTTCTGCCACGACTTCTGTACTTTGCTAGTACCGAGGCATGTATAAAAGCCTTTTTTAGTAACCAACCAACGTAATATCCACTGATGATGACATTAAATTGAATGTCGAAACGTTTGGAAATAAAGATTATTTTATAAATCTTTGGCTTTTCTTTGTTTGATGTATCGTCCTCAAGAACTCACTCATATATATATATATATATATATATATATATATATATATATATATATATTAACGAACAGTGAAATTTCCATCTATATTTTAAAAAATATATGAACATTTATTTCATTCAAAATGAAAAACCATGATATAATTACCATTTATCAATATTTCTGTATTTTACGTATTTTACAATATGCATTATATAAGAACATTCCAATTAAAGGAAAGTAGAAAGGATAGTAGTATATAAATAATTCTATTTTCTTAAAATTATAATTTCATTTTAATTCCATTGTTTATATGTAAATATTTATAAAAATAAAAGAATGTTAAGAAATAGACACTGTGATTAAATATTCAAAACTTATACTTTTAATGCGATCAGTTTTCAGTTTTATGTCTTTTAATATCTCTGCCGCATATCAAAGATAGAAATCTAGATGAGTTATTTGAGAACCAGTTTTCTCTATTTCACTGATTGTATAAACCGCTGCGATTGATAAATTTATTCATCTATATTAACATAAATTTTTTAAGTGAATTTCACTGAAACCATTAGCAACACCCAATGATACAAACGTCACGTGAAAGTAAAGAATGTCCGAACGGTCACCAAAAAGATGGACATTTGGTTCACAGCAGTATGCCCGATTATTACGAATAGATTTCAAACTCATGTTACGAATGTCAGTTTATAATACGTTCTTGTTCTGAGAGCCATTCAATAAAGTGAATCATTGCCTTTAAATTAAAAAGAAATCGATAGCAATACTTAAATATTAGCTGCGTCATTTATTTATTAAATTCATAACATGGCTGTTATAGCAAATATCATTTTTTTCAATATGCTATTTATAGAAATATGCATTTTGTACAGACAGATGCTTTAATTCCATAGCAGTCTTTAATTATAAAGAATTCATAAGTGAGTTATTAGAAAATCGGGAAAAAATAACGAGCATGATCGTATTTAGTACGTTCCATAACATAAACAAGACAATGTAAAATCAATTTTCATCGATGAGCATACTATCAAGGGAATTAAATCATTTGTTCTGTACACTTTTCATCAATTCATCAAACGATGTCGATTTTGGTCGTTCGATGGGTAATTCTAAGGCACGGTCCCAAACTAAAGATGCAAGTGAACCCAAGGATCTTGCTACGCCGTAGAGGGCACCGTAGAATCCGATTTCTCGCATTCCGTAATGATGAAGAAGAATTCCTGACTGAGCATCCACCGTCGGCCAGCATTTCTCATTAACACCAGAGCTACCAGGATCCGTCTGAACGCGAAGCATGCTTGGGACAACTCTGTACATGACAGACGCTAGACGAAATAACGGGTCGTCTGGCAAGTTCTTGAGCGCGAATTCGCGTTGACAGATATACCTGAATTTGGAGATAAACTTTCCATTTGTTTCTTTATAATAATTATGATTGACGTGATCTTATAAAACTAATTAATTTGATTAGGAATGTTTCATGTTGTCAATTTGAAATATCGAAATTTGATTGTACGTTTACGTAGTTGTAAGATGATTTTGGGTCGACGTCTTGTTTTCATAAGCGCCCATTAGCAAGTTTAGAGAAAATAAATAAATAGGATTGCGCGGGTAAAAATTTCAAAAACAAGTAAAGTATAGATTTTTCACCGATACTTTTTCAAAGGCGGTACACAAAGGTCCAATTTGATTTTGAGCAAATATATTGTGAAAACCAAACCAATTGTATCACAACAAATAACACATATCAAACAACTATCTGACTATGTTCAGTAAAACTCCCAGCCAAATCATCATTTTATAAACATGTTATTTTTGCTGTTGTTCAAAAATTTGTTACCCCATAGGTTAACATCAAAAAAAATTATCAGCGCGGTTGGAATAAATATTTATTCAGCTTATCTCTTATGAAATTGCTTTTTCTAACTTAATTTTCTTTTTTATTTACTATTTTCATTTTTTACACCTTTGCGGGTATATAGGTTCAGTTGGACCTTCTTACCCCACCCACATGTTAGTTTTTATAAAAACTATATAAAAAAGACTTAAATTTTAACGAAAGTAGTTTTTTTCGGTTTAAGTTTTTGCTCTAAACACGCCTATTTAGTTTACGATATCTGAATATAATTCTTAAGTATACGTTATTTAATTGCTTTATAAGTTATGTTGTTTTTTCGAGTTAAATTCAAGAGTTTTTTTATATAATCTCTAGAATAACTTACATGCAATTAGGGTAAAGCACCTAAACATTTACACTGGCGAGGTGCAGGTATTATTCAGTCAAATGCACACTTGAGAAACACAGCTAAATTAATTTGAGGAATGGCATATGCCAAAAGGATAAGAAATCAGAAGAAAATGGCAAATATAAATGTAAAATAAATTTAAAAAATTATTATACATAGACAAATTAAATTAATAGCTATTTCAATTCTAATGATAAATTCTTCTGAGAAAGTTCCATATAAATGTTGTGTCCATTGCTAACTTTATAAAAAACGTGCCAATAAAATATATGTATTTTAAACAGAAGTTGTATGAATCTCATTTGTAATTATTATAAGGAACAATGAGTTTGATTATAACAAAATACAGAGAATTGACTCCCAAAGCAAAATGTATGAAGAAGTAGAGTTGTTAATTTTTTTTTGTTTATTATGTTTAAAAATACATACTCAGAATAGGATTTTTAGTTTTGTTAGACAACTTGATAATTAAACTGTATCGCATTGATACATAATGTAGCCATTATTCTATAAAGCCTTTCTTTAAATTAAAATTTAAATAATACATCTTTTCACCCCATGGCTGACTCTTTTTACCCCGCTCATAGAGGGCTAAAGGAGGTGCGAGCAGAATAAAAAATAGCTAAAAACACATCGATAGTTGTTTGTTTAATATGTGTTATTTATTGTGATATACACCTAAGTCTGTTTTTACACAGTAGATTGGTTCCAGAAGAAGCCGTGTAAAAAAAAACGTGTAAAAAAGACATTGATCTTATACAAAAATGGGTGATTTGTTCCTAATCTCTAAAACCTATTAAAATTAGTGAAAAACAAGAATTTTTAAGAACAAGAATTCATGTTTATTTTATTAAATCAAATATATAATGCTTATTTTCACAAGCATAGTAATTAATGATAAAAAAGATATGCAATCTAATTTTAAAAGTAATATAAATTAAATGTATGGCAAGTTCAGGAACTAAAAAACTATGTTGTGAACGAAAAGAATAGGTTTATTGTATGCACGTAAAGGGAATTCCCCTAAATTAGTGCTATTCACATTTGCTTTGAGCAGTAAAAATTGTTTGTACGCGCTAAAGGGGAATTCACTTAAATCTTTAAGCTAGTGTTTGCAAACTATCGATACTATCGATGGTTTCAGACTTTTTTCTTTCATAAATACTTTTTTGTGATATGAACATACTTCGCAAAAATTAAATTTGACAAAAAAAATTTAAGTACATACAATTTCAAATCGTGCTAAATGGAATAAAATCGAGTAAAAAATTTTAAAATATTCAATTTTCAAACCGTGTTATATCAAAACCGTATACAAAAAGATCGTGTAAAAACAGACTTAGGTGTAATTGGTTTGGTTTTTATAAAAATAATTGCTTAAAGCCAAATTGGACCCTTGTGCCTCGCCCTACCATAATTCTTTCAAAAGTATGTAAATTCAAAAACTATCAATCAAAGTTGAACTTTAAATATTAACACAAATAAGTTAATCTGCCTACCTTGGATCAATGCATTCCAAGACCGAATGCCCATACCCCGGTATTGTTTCACCAGCTTCGAGTTTTTCGCGGACATATTCACGCATAGTTGCTTCACTCGGATCGTCTCCCAGGTCCGCGCGCATTCTCGTCACGAAGATCAGAGCCGCCTGGTTCGTCAGGCCGTGCAGCGGACCAGCGAGACCATTAATTCCTGCAGCGTATGCGAGGTAAGGGTCACTTAAGGCTGATCCGACAAGATGAACAGCGTGAGTGCACACACTGCCTCCTTCGTGGTCACTGTGAATCATCAGATACATACGCAACAACTCTGCGAATCGTTCGTCTTCGAATCCAAGCATGCATGCAAAGTTACCTGAGTTATCAAGCTCTAATTAAATTACTGAATGTTAATTTTCTGGTGTAAAATAATTTCAATTGCAAATCTGAGATTAACCAAAATTAGCAATCTTAACACTATTCCTACCGGGACCAGTCAAATGACCGTTTTTGATTTTTCAATTAGTATTTTTCATATCAAACGTAAATGAATTATCATTAAACTTTATGGCTTTTCAATGTTAATTTGTTTTTTTCAATTTTTATTTTTGGAAAAAAAATGTATACTGTCTTACCTTCCGCGACCGGTCATTAGACCGGTAGTAGGAAAGACGATGTTCGGACGGCATTTTTTGTAGTAATTGTTAAGAATATTATCGAACTTACAAGAAAATGTAAATGCAGAAGTATTTAGAGTGGTGAAAACTGCCTTCTGCAAATTTATATGCATTTTTTTCTATTTTATTGCACACTGTGCATATGTGGCAAGGAGTATAAATATTGCACTTCTACGGTGTAAAATGTGGGTTTTCTCATTTTTTATCAATGTCTATGTGTAGACAGATTTTTACGAAGGAATCCAAACAACAAATTGATAGGTTTTGTTTTGAATCCAAAGGTTGGTTCAACTATATTGACAGCAATCAAAATTGTTGTAAAAGACCACGTATTACTATCATATATATTTTCAGTATATATTATATTTTTAATAAAGGTAAGGTGTAAATTTATTCAACACATGATCAATAATATTCAGGAAAACGTAGTATATAATTTTAGTAACCATTCAATATACGATATAAATATAATTATGCCCAACAATTCGCACTAAGAATTTCTTTGAAGATTTATAACTAATGAAACCGTATTATCAAAATCGCTAGTACGATGTAAAAATATATAAAGCTTTTACCATCCTACTTATAGCTAAACTTTTCGTTCAAAAAAAAACTGTGATGGTATGTACAATTGAAGCAATACAACAGCTACAGATAGATACTGGTAGAACTAAAAATCAAGGACTTCATCACTCAAATAATATTGACAGTTTTGAAAGCCAAGAAAGGAGATTCTAATTTTCACTTACATACACATATGTTGAAAAAATTGCACTAATACGCGAGTCAATTCAATTGGTATGTGTTTGATGTAGATATCATTCATAAAATAGTCAGAAATCATTCGGTAAAATATGAAATTTAGGTGGAATTTATCCAGGATTTACATTATTTTGGATTTATTCAGGATAAATCCATAGTTGTCACATAAATAACTTGCCGTATAGTTCCAACAAGAATTCAGAAAAAAATCAACCAAGAACAAGTATAAAACAGATTCCCTAAAAGAAAATATTCCAGATAATGTTTTAGAAAAATAATAGAGCGAACAAAATCAGCCAAAAACGTAAAAAATGCGTGTGCAGAAAATTCACTTTAAGAAAAAAATTGATAAAACATAATAAAGTGTAGATTTTGCATTCTAAAATAAAAGAAATATTTTTTATTTGTATTTCTAAACTCATGAGCTAGCATTAACTCTTCATTCAATACTGAAAAACATAGATTTTGCATGACCGGTCATTTGACCGGTCGCGGTAGGAATAGTAAACATGAAATATCGGTAGGAATAGTGTTAATAGCAGGTTTTGCTGAAATAACTGATAAAGCTTATTTCTTTTCAAGCGAATGAAGCTGTTTTTGTACTCAAAATCAAACGAAAAAGTGTTACAAACTATTAAAAATGTAATTATTACTACCAGCCCAATCCCTTGTCGTATCGATCGTCTTACAAATCTTCCCATCTCTATAGGCATTTCTGTAAATAGTAGCAGCGATAACAGGTAGTTTAGCGATCAAGTTCAATGCATCCTCAAAAACTGGAATCCAATAAGAAGATCTCTTTATCTTCCCTTCGGAATAGGCCTTTGTAAAATGACTTTCTGTGTTCAGTACTGTCACAGCACATGATAGCTGTGACATAGGATTTAGGTTTGCAGGCATTTTATGGAGCAATGATGCGACATGAGCAGGTATAGTTGCACGTTCTGCAAGCTCTTTCGACAAGCCTTTTACTTGATCATCGGTCGGTATGCGTCCGGTCAGCAACAGCCAAAATAAACCTTATGTAAAATTATATAATTGATTTTGGAAAATTAGCTTGACTTAAATGTTTTCTATACTTTACCCTCGGGTAAGGGTTGTTCGCCACCGGGTGCTTTGGGCAGCAGATTTTGACAATCTTTAATGGTTAGACCTCGAAAACGTATTCCTTCCTGTGGATCTACAACTGAAGGCTCATAAACAAGGCCTTGCAATCCGCACATTCCATTGCACACCATATCAACGGTAACCTTAAGAAAATTATCAGTCAGTATGTACTTAAACTTGTCTAAACTTGTCTTATTTTAATATAAACTTTAATAGAAATATTATAATGGATGATTTGTAAAATATATATTTTTACATATAGGAACAATATATTTGTATGATAGAAATTTTATTACCTCACAAACCCTCTTTTTGCCATAATTTTTTCGGAGTTCTTTAACTTTCTCTTTATAAACTGGGATTATACCTTCAAGAATAGATTTCAATTCAGATTGACCAGTTGCATAGTTACGTTTAAATGAACTTTTAAGATATATCGTCAGACGGCATAGTGTAAGAGATTTATTAAGCATAATTAACACCTGTTTCAAAAATAAAATACATAAAACACTTGAAAAATCTATGACGCTTTCTGTCAATTGCATATTAATTAAAAACAAAAGTGTTTAGGTATGAATTGTGATAAATATGTGACGTTCTCTAATTGTTGAAGATTTTTAATGTATACAAAGTGACAATAATATAAATCATTATTGAAAATCGTGAATTTAAATGTGAATTTTAATGCCTATAGTAATAAGGTCAACCTACGCAAAAATATAGAGAACATTAGGATAGAATAATAAACTAGATGGAGGTGGCATTTTGCCTTAAGCAAAGCTGCGTAAACTTTCCGAAACATTTAATAATCAACTTATTATTATGTATTATTATTGAACAGCAATCAAAACATAGGAGTCCTATAAGCCGTTGTGCTAGTTTGACTTGATCATTATTTATAAATGATTCATAAATATAAATTTAAGTTAATTAACTTCCCGTAGGGTGGTTATAGTAATAAACCGAAAATTGAAAATGAAAATTTTTGCATATCTTCACGTTTTGAAGGTTTCTGAACATTTTGGCATACCTCTGAAAAAATGGATGTGTGTGTTTCTGTGTTGTATATCCGCATTTTTTTGTCCTCGGATCAACCGATTTGAATGGTTCAAAAAATATTCGATTCCTATTGATAGGGAGATGTGCTGATTAGTTTTTGGCAAAGGCAGGTTCGGCCGTTACGGAGATACGGAACAAAGTGTGCAGAAAATATAAATTGAGTTTTTGAGAGAAAGGAATATCCGAACTGAATGATTTAAAAAAAATCAATTTGTAATGATTGGGAGAAGAGGTCATTAGTTTTTGGCAAAGGCACGTCCAGCCATTTCGAAGATACAGAGCTGAATGTGCAAATAATGGCAGTTTTTGACAGAACTAAGCGTCCAATTTGAATGATTCAAAGAACTTTCTGCTTGTTTTCATTTGAAAACGGAGGCGAACTCTATTGATATTTTCATCTTGAGCTTTGATCATGATAAGCACATGTTGCTCTGGATGTCACCTTCACTTAGAACTTCAATATGTCAAAACATGTACTTTGTTTACTAAAATTTATTTATGTTTTATGATAACAATAATATGTGAATACATATTAAACGAATATCTAATTTTTTTATCGACAAGTGATGATTTTTTAATTTATATCTTATCTACAATATAATTTTATCTTTCACATTAAATATTGAAGAGTTTTCTGATGTAATTTAACAATTTCTAAACATAGCAGAAAAATGTGTTCTAAAACTTGTTCTAAATTAGTAATAAATAATGGTGAAAATAAAGAATCTACTTTATATAGAGTACCCAATGATTCCACCCTACACATTTATCCAGGACCTAGTTTATTAGGAAAAAGCATAGTACTGTACTGTAATTATCCAGAAAATGGTATGAAATTTCACAAACAATATTCACTAATCTAAGCTAATCGAATAAAGTAATACATTTTTTTTCATCGATGCAGGTGAAAGTTTTGAACGTAAAAAATACAATGTACTGCGCTGGCTTTGTTGTAAAACAGGAAAACCCGTTGCATTTATTAAAGATTCTGATTATACAATAATTAAAAATGTCGATATGTACTGTGAAATTTCTTTAGACCGACCTGGCAGTTACCATTATTATTTTAAATTTAATAAGTAAGCAAAGCAAAAAAATATTTTATTACTAAATAATGACGAAAATATTATTCAAACCTGCATTTGTAGATCAATCGAGCTTGATGGGTCAGGATATTTTTGCAAAGATCCAATTATACAATTAGGTTTATATGATAATAGTATTACATTACAACCAGATGCAGTAAGATGCCAAACTGTACTTGTGAAATGTTTGGGACAAATCGATACTTGGGAATCTAAGCTTAGAGTAGCTAAAGAATCTGGTTACAATATGATTCACTTCACTCCGATTCAAGTAATTTTAAAAATAAATCTATTTTATAATTGTCTATATAAATTTATTTTATAGTAAAATGTATTACATATGAGTATGATTTTAATTTAGATGCTGGGCGGATCGAGGTCTAGTTATAGCATCAGCGATCAATTGAAATTAAATACTGCCATTGGTTCAGATATTGAAAATTTACAATTATTTTTATCAAAACTTTCAAATGATTGGAAGGTAATAATTGATGCATTGTTTATAGTAAAATTTTAAATTAAATTCAAGTAAATGTTATTTTAGATGGCTTTTGTTTGCGATATTGTTCTTAATCATACAGCTAATGAAAGTCAATGGTTGCAAGAACATCCTGAATGTTCTTATAATTGTAAAAATTCACCACATTTAAGACCAGCTGCTTTATTAGATTTTTTATTATTTAAAATCGGTGAAGATGTGTCTAATGGTGCCTTAGAACCTTATGGTATATTTGAAAACAGATTTATTGAAAATACTCTAGAGGTATGAAATAATAAAAAAATATAATTCTACTTAATTGAATTTTTATAAAGTTTCATATAATTATCTTTGATTATAACTTTAGATATTGAGCAAAATTATTTTTGAAAAATACTTGCCAAAGTTAAAGCTATGGGAATTCTATCAATTAAATGTTGAAGTCCTAAGTGACAAATTTCAAGAACTTCTCAGAAATAATACAGTCAGAAAATATAAAAAATGTGATCACAATGACTTAAAAATTATACAGGATACCGAGTTCAAACGTTTATCGTCAACTATAGATCTAGAAAAAGCAATAGCTGTCTTTTCAATCGTTAAAAGGTATGCATTATAAAAATAACTCACATAATTATAATTTATAAAAAAAATTATTTTAGTAATGATAACAATTATGACAAAGATGATATCACAGAATCAGTAAATAAATTTAAACAATTTATTATCGGTCTGAATGCTAACATTCGTGATGAAATACAATCTCTTTTGATATCAGCTGTTGATAATGTTATTGCAGGAGTAAGATATGAAAGAGTTCAAGAAAATGGTCCGAAATATAAAATAATAAATGAGAAATACCCGTTATTTCCAAGGTATGAAAATCAACATGTATTATAAGTGTAGTAATAATCGTTAACTTTTTTTTTTATTTTTCAGATATTTTACAGATTTTAGTAAAGATGTAAATACATTAGAAGAAGCAGAAAATGTTATTTTTTCTGAAGAGGGTGCATTTATCATGGCACATAATGGTTGGGTGATGAACTCGGATCCTTTAATTGATTTTGCTGAATTTCAAAGTGGTTTTAATAATGTATATCTTAGAAGAGAACTTATTTCTTGGGGAGATTGTATAAAATTAAGGTTAAATGCATTAAATATTTATATTTTTTTTATAATCAAAATCTATTAATTACTCGAAATATTAATTTTGAAATAGGTATGGCGAAAAACCCGAAGACAATCCATATTTATGGAATCATATGAAGAATTATGTGGAACAAACTGTGAAAATATTTCATGGAGTGCGGCTAGATAATTGTCATTCAACACCATTACATGTAATGTATATTTGTGAAAAACTTGTGTAAGTAATATAAACTTATTTTCAAATATGATGCAGGTTGCTGAATATTTATTAGATAGTGCCAGGAAAATAAATCCAAATCTTTATGTCATGGCCGAACTCTTTACTAATTCTGATGAAAAAGATAATATATTTGTTAACAGATTGGGCATCACTTCTCTAATTAGAGGTAATATAGACTCAGATTAATAAAAGTAATAAATTTATCAGAATAACTATTCTATAGCAATGATACAGATCATATTCACCAAAAGTTTGATGAGGTTCATTAACTTCCCGTAGGGTAAGTTATAGTAATCGCAAAAAAATCGAAAATGAATTTTTATATATATTTACGTTTCAAAGGTTTCTGAATATTTTGGCATACCTTAGAAAATCTTATCATAAAAAAATCATACTTTAGAAAGTATGTGAATCTGCGTGTGTGCGCGGATACAAAGTTTCGTCGACGATTTCGGGAATACCGATCAACCGATATGAATAATTCAAAAAACATTCGATTCGTATTGATAAAGAGACATGCTGATTAGTTTTTGGCGAAGACAAGCCCAGCCCTTCCGAAGATATGGGGCAAAAAGTGCCAAAAACGGTAACTCAGTTTTTAAGAGAACGGACCTTCCGATTTTAATAATTCAGAAAACATTTTACTTGTATTGGCAAGATGAAAAACTGAATAAATTTTTGGGAAGGCAGGTCCAGCGGTTATGGACTCTCAATAAAAAGAAGTTAAAAAAATTTCATTTGGCGGTCAAAAATGTTCATTGGACATTATGTACATCAAATTATCAGATATTTTATAGAGATTTTAATAACATGTACACGTTTTGTGTAAATTTTTTTGCGTTGCGTACCAAGATTTTTAATTACGATACGGGAAGTTTCAGAAATTTGCCTCAAGGCACGATGCTATGCACCCCATTAGTCGGGAATTTTATACAACTTGCTTTAAGGCAAAATTTCACTAGCAACTAATTTGCCTTTGTTTTTAAAGAAGCGCAATCAGCTTGGAATTCCCATGAAGAAGGACGTTTAGTTTATCGGTATGGTGGTGAACCAGTAGGTTCTTTCCAAAAATATGACAATATTCTAACTCCTGTAATTGCTAATGCATTATTCATGGATCTTACACATGATAATCCATCACCAATTTCTAAGAGGTTTGTGATTCAATCTTTACTTAAAAACTTTTAACAATATAATTCTATTAAAAATATTATTTAGATCCGTTTACGATTTTATTCCAACATCTGCCCTGGTATCTATGGCTTGTTGTGGGACTGGAAGTAATAGAGGATATGATGAACTAGTGCCGCATCATGTGAGAAATTGTAATGAATCAATTAAATATTATTTTATACATATTTATTGAAAGAAAATCCACAGATACATGTTGTTAATGAAGAACGAGAATATGCATCATGGGATGAGACATTTTGCAATACAGGGATAATTTCTGCTAAAAAGTGTTTAAATGAACTACATGGATACCTCTCTGAATTTGGATTTTCAGAGGTAGCTCACTATTTTGTAATATTAAATATCAAGATGATAAACATTTAATTATTTTATAGGTTTATGTAGATCAAATGACCGAGCATATAGTAGCAGTTACTAGACATAATCCAAAAACGCACGAAAGTATTATTTTAGTCGCTTACACATGCTTTCAACTACCAAACAATGATTGGCCTTTTTCTACTCCTAATATACGTCCACTCAAATTTGAAGGCCATTTTGAAGAAATCTTATTTGAAATTGAGTTTAATGAAAATTTAAATGAACCTAATTCTTATTCTTTAGATAGCAAGATCATTAACGGATTAAATAATTATAAAGTTGACATTAAAACAAATATTAATATAGATAAATCTGGAATGCTTGAAGATGCATCAACAGAAAATAATAAACAATTTAATTTTAGAAAATTCAAGCCAGGATCAGTATTAGCTATAAGGTAAATAATTTTTATTTCGGAATTTTAATGAAGAACTAAATATGCCACAATCTTTACAGAGTATCATTAGAAGAAGAGTCCAAAAAATCAATAAACGAAATAAAAAAATCTTTGAATGTTATTGATGATATAAATTCAAATGAGGTTATCCAAATAAGGACTTTAATAAAATCTATGCTAGAAAAAATTAATTTAAACCATTGTAATGAAATTTTATTCAAGTCTGATAAAGAAGAAAGAGATAATAGTGATAAAGGAGTTTATGTGATACCTAATTTAGGACCATTAGTTTATTGTGGTCTACAAGGTAATCTAATTTATATCTGAAAAAACAAATCAGCATATAAATTTAAAATATATTTCAGGTTTTATTTCTATACTTGACGATATAAGTAAAAATAATGACTTAGGGCATCCCATGTGTTCTAATCTTAGAGATGGAAATTGGATGTTAGGTATTTGATATTATAAAAATATACTATGCATACATTATTTAATATATTGTTTGTTTTAAAGATTATATTTGGCAACGTATAAAAACGAAAAATGGATTATTGGCAATGAAATTTTGGATGAAACAACTTTTTGACCCTTTGAAATGTATACCGAGGTATTTAGTACCAAAGTATTTTGATAGAATAGTCCGTAGTGTATATAATTTGATCAAGAATCATAGTTTAAGCTTAATGTCACAGTAAGTTTTATATTATATCATACATACAAGGAATTCCATGAACTTTAATGAACCTCATTTTGTTTCAGATTCATACAAAACGGAGATACATTCATAAAACATTTAGGTCTCAGTTCTTTACAATTTATGTCAGTTTGTCCTTCGGCAAAATTGCCTCCATTTAGTCCAAATCTACATAAAGTAATTGATAACACTAAATGTGCAACTCTTTCAGCGGGTAATTTAAAAGTCTTGAATGACATTAATGCAATTAGAGTGGAAATGATTGAAGATTGTTTTAGGGCTTCCTCATTTTGCTACCGATTATATGAGATGCTGGGGTAGAGATACTTTTATAAGCCTTAGAGGTCTATTGTTACTAACCGGGCGTTTCGATGAAGCTTTAGAATTAATATTAGGATTTGCAGCCTGCTTAAGGCATGGTTTGATACCAAATCTTTTAAGTGGAGGTTACAACGCAAGGTCTGAAACTATTATATAATATCAAACTAAAATTGTGAAACTATACACAAGCTAAAATTTATTTTTGGATAATTAAATAATAATAATCTAAAATCTAATTTATTTATATTTTTAAATTTGATGGAAGAAAATATTTTTATTCTTCTGTAGGGGATATATTTTAACAAGAAAACTTTACATTTAACTATTATAATTTAAAGTATATTTCTGAAATAATATGAAAATATTAAATTTTATATCTAAATATATTTCTAAAATATATTTTAATTTCTTCTAAAATAATTCTAAAATAATTTCAAATTTTAGATATAATTGCCGCGATGCGATTTGGTGGTGGTTGGAATGTATCAAATCGTATGTGAATTTGGTTCCTGATGGTTCCAAAATTTTAAATTATATGGTATTACGTCTATACCCACAAGATGATTCTGAAGCAAATCAAGCAGAAGTGGTAAATATTCAAAATTTTTGTTTAGCAAGATACAAGAGCTATGAAACGGGAGTGATTTATTAATTTCATATTTATTTTAGGATCAACCACTATATGAAGTAATGCAAGAATCATTGGAAAAACATTTTAAAGGCTTAAAGTTTCGTGAACGAAATGCAGGACGGCAGATAGATGAACACATGACTGATAAAGGTTTTGATAATGAAATCGGCGTAAATATACAAACAGGTTTTGTTTTCGGTGGTAATGAGTGGAATTGTGGAACTTGGATGGATAAAATGGGATCTAGTGCTAAGGCTTGCACCAAAGGTAATTTCAAAATCAAATATGAAACTAAGGGTAAAGCAATTTAACCTTGTAAACTATTACTATATAGGCATACCAGCTACACCAAGGGATGGCAGTGCTGTTGAAATCGTTGCTTTGAGTTATAGCGTGATCACTTGGCTTTCTGAATGTTTTGAAAATAAGATTTATCCTTACGAAGGCGTTACAAATATAACAGGAAACGGTAAATTGTTTATACATTCGTGAAATAAAAATTAAATTAATAAATAATTCCATATTTAGACGACGAGGTGATCAAATGGAGTTTCAAAGAATGGTCTAATAAAATTAAGATGAATTTTGAAGAAAGTTTTTATATAGATAAGCATGATGAATATGTGAACCAGCTAAACATATATAAAGATACTGTAGGAGCATCAAAACGTTGGCCTGATTATCAAATGCGTTGCAATTTTCCAGTTGCTATGGCTATTGTAAATAATTCGCTATATTAAATACTTTTTAAAGATTATGTTATCTAATTATATGAATTTTGAAGGCTCCGGATCTGTTTAATACTCAAAATGCTTGGAAAGCATTAGAAAAAGTGAAAAGCATTTTATTAGGACCTCTTGGTATGAAAACTTTGGATCCATCAGATTGGGCTTACAGGCCAAACTATGACAATTCTAATGATTCAGAAGATTCAGCAATAGCTCATGGCTTCAACTATCACCAAGGACCAGTAAGTTGATTAAACAGTTTATATAAAATTAATACATTAAAATTTTTATTATCAATTTTATTTATCAGGAATGGTTATGGCCAATAGGCTTCTATATTAGAGCACGTTTACATTTTGCTAGCAAAATCCAATGCTTGGATGATACATTATTGGAAGTTAGGTAAGGAAACAAAATTGTATAAAAATAATGATATTTGTCTCCTAATTTATTTTATTTAAGCGGGTTATTATCAAAACATTTGACTGAAATTGAAACAAATCACTGGAGAGGTCTTCCAGAATTAACAAATGAAAATGGGTCGATCTGTACGCATTCATGTGCTACTCAAGCATGGAGTGTTGCAACTATATTAGAGGTAAGTTAAAATAAAGTATAAATTAATTATGCTATATAATATATTTCACATTTTCAGGCTCTTTATGATATTGAAGAATATGAGAAGTGTACAGAAAATTAGAATAATTGAAATTTTAAATACATATATTTGAACTATTTTTGTATTTTTATATTTGATGATAATAAAAACAAAAAATATGATATTATTGAGTTATATTTTTATTGAGAAAATTCATATGATGCAGATGAAAATTTATAAATTATACTATATGCGCTTTCAGGTATTCAGGTTCAACTTTGATCTTGAAAATATTCGTTTTATGATTTCTCTACGCAGCTTTATGTAAATTAACTTCAATCAAAAAATGGTATATAAAAACATCCATTATATCGCTTTTCTAATAGCAATAATAAGTATTGATTATAAAAATAATTGAATTGAATTACACATCGATACATTGATATACAGAACATTTGTTTTTACAAATTTTTGGTTAATTTCATCCGTAATTGTAAAATGTTATTACACATTTACCGTACCATTAATATTAGCAAAATATCGCATTATCCAAAATATTTATTTACATTACATTTGTTTTTTATATGATGTTATGAATATTTCAGTTGAATGATATAACATCCGGCGGTTTTGAACATTTATATTGCAACATTTGATTTATGGGCCCTATTCTATAAAGATTTTTACGATAACCTGGAAGTTACGAGTTTAACAATGCTTCAAGGCGATGATGGTTATTATTCTATTATTTTTACATACCAATTACTCTGTAAATACATGAATCACACATGTGCAGCAGTATATCATTATTTTTTTGCATGCAAGGAATTTCATTAAGTAATGGGCGTGCGTAAATGTAAAGGAATAAAATTAGAAATCAAGAATGTTATAGTAAACTTTTTTTTTCAAAAAAGTAGAGATCAGTCGTTTTATACTAATTCAATCTCCGTTCCAATAGTAGACAAAATATTGCTATCATTAACACATAATGTAATGCTTATGTGCTACAATTTATTATAAATTATTAACTAATTGCAGATTAAAAATAAGTGGTTTGTAAATTGCTCACTATAGACGCTCTGGAAAATTTTAAATGCTTTTTCGCGATTTATTTAATCGTTATAAATTTATATTTATGAACGAGAAATTACTTTTTGTTCTACGCCACTGTAATTAAACACACGTTATTCAAATAAACGATAATCTTTACTGTCGATAACGTATAAATCCCTAATGATAGTTGCTGACTAGTTTTATTCAGTTTAAAAGATTGTTCCATGATCAACAGAAATAAAAATGTCAACAAGAATTTTACAAGTTATTTTGTTATACTTTTGCATTGCTTCAGTGTTTAGCGTTCAAAATTTATTGGACGTCAAAGCTAAGGAGAAAAATCTTCTAAAAAGTGGTAGCATATTATTTATTAATATATTATTATAATTAGTGTGATGAAATTTATTCAGTGGCTATATAATTTTTGAAAGCCGAAAGCAGTTAATGAATTAATTTATTTCGAGGTGTTTACGGATAATCACTTGATAATATATTTATTATACTTTAGACGCAGAAGTTGCAGATGCCGACAAACGTTCAAGAAGATTCATTCATGCACCAGGTCCAGGACATGAATTTATTAATGTAAATTATCTACATATAATTTCTAATTTATAAATGATTTATTAAATTAAATTAAATTGAACTTAGGCTCACATTCCTCTGACAAATGCCATGGCAACTCTTCAGCCCAAAGAAGGCGCAGAACCAGAAGTATTTGGGGAAGTCAATATGAGTCAATTAGTTGGTCATCGAATATTTTTGCAAACTAACTTGACTGGATTAACACCAGGTGATTTAAAATACATCAATCTTCAAATAAGTAAAAGAATGTATTAACAGGAAAATGAAATTTTTGAAGTTCCTAAAGAATGGGACATCTTATACTTAGAAAACCCAGAAAACATTAATATAAATGAAAAATTAAATAATTAATTATAGTTAAAAAAATTTAAGTTTTAAGTTCAGTTACTCAGAAAAACTTATAATTTACATATGTATTTGTTACCATGTCGTTTTGCTTCTGTATATTATCGATTTGCAAATTATTTCTTCAACATGTGATATTTGATTTCATATTATTTATTTTCTTATATTTATTACAAATTATAGGTTTATACGCAATACACGTCCATGAATTTGGAGATTTGAGTGAAGGTTGTGATTCTACCGGAACAGTATATCCCATAGATGCGGTAAATATAAAAAAAATTGATCACTTAAAGTTAACAATTGTTTGAAAATATTCATAAAATATAAATAGAGATATCTTTACTGCGTATCTTAGTAACTTAGTAAAAAAAAATTAGATTAAAAGGCTGCTCAGTACGCAGGAAATAACAAATTACACTTCAAATAATTATCAAGTTATTTGTTTTCTTTGTAAGGTAATAAGATCGATACAAATTGCTAGTAATATTATATAATGGGTTTGTATAAAATACACTCTTGACCTTGCTTCTATATAGACTATGTATTTTAGCATAATTATACTATGAGTCTAGTTTATCTAGTTCATAAATATGCATTGTCATTAGCTACATAATAGACAATTCATTAATTTAAAAATTTCTATATGAAGAACTAATTTTAACGCTTTGCTATTCATATTTATTTAAAAAACTCTTTAACTTTATAATAATTTGGTGCTTAAAAATGTTAAAGAAAAGCTTGAAAAGAATAGATTATGCAGCTTAAGTATAAGAGCAAACACTTGGGAATTTAAAGAATTATTAGTAACTGAGAAGCATAAATTGTTCACTTGCAAAATGTGATCTATGAATTCATACCACGATTTTTTTTGTCAAAAGATTTATGTCTCAGGCCTCTTTATATTGGCTACATCTATACGATAAACAACATTTTATTGCCACATTACCACCATTTACTAGTGTGAAACTAACAAGTGTTTGCAATCTGAATAAAATGTACTAACTTTTAATCGAACTTGCTAAGACACTTTAGTACATTTATTTAAAGGACTGCCTCTCAAATTCGATCAATTTGGAAAATTTTAAATTGACAAAATGTCTTTATTCTTGAAAACTTAGGGCAGTTTTGTCATTATTTTTGACTGCGCTCTTAGAAATGTTATTCACGGTTATGATTTAAGTTTAAATGAATAAGCATGATTAAAATTGATCACAATCTACTTTTAATCGAACTTGCTAGAACACTTTAGTACATTTATTTAAAGGACTGCCTCTCAAATTCGATCAATTTGGAAAATTTTAAATTGACAAAATGTCTTCATTCTTGAAAACTTGGGGCAGTTTTGTCATTGTTTTTGACTGTTGTCTTAGAAATGTTATTCACGGTTATGATTTAAGTTTAAATGAATAAGCGTGATTAAAATTGATCACAATCTACTATTAATCGAACTTGCTAGAACACTCTAGTACATTTACTTAAAGGACAGCCTCTCAAATTCGATCAATTTCGAAAATTTTAAATTGACAAAAAGTCTTCATTCTTGAAAACTTAGGGCTGTTTTGTCAATATTTTTGACTGTGGTCTTAGAAATGTTATTCACGGTTATGATCTAAGTTTAAGTGAATAAGCATGATTAAAATTGATTACAATCTGCTTTTAACTAAACTTGCTAGAACACTTTAGTACATTTATTTAAAGGACTGCATCTCAAATTCCATCAATTTGGTAAATTTTAAATTAACAAAATGTCTTCAGTTTTGAAAACTTTGGGCACCATATTTGACTGTGGTCTTAGAAATGTTATTCACGGTTATGATTTGAGTTTAAATGAATAAGCATGATTAAAATTGATCACAATGACCAGAAAGTGATCACGATTTTACCAAAGCTCTAGGAGGAACTTAAAAGCTCTTAACTTTCAAACTGCATGGGATAAAATTTTCAATCTAGTTACAATCAATACAATCACAACATTCCGACTTGTTATTGAGTTCTGAGACATCTTGTATATTTCACAATTTCAATATATTTCTAATTTTCACCTTTTACAGATGCCATTTTCGCAACGTTTTCCGTTTTATCCGGGCGCCTCATTTTTGACCGATTTTGGTGTCACGGAAAAGGACGGAGATGAAATAATGTTGCAGCTTTTGGTGTCTTCATGGGGTCCCAAACTTTCGCTTGTGGGTTCGGGCTACGGCATTGGAGGCCGAGGCCTAGGCCTCTACAAGCGCAAAGAGGAAAAAGAAATAAAAGGAAATCCTTTCGAACTGTACAATATGGATTTACTAGCTTGTGGCTCTATTATGATCGTCAGATAAGAGGATAGATGATTATACGATTTCAACAATTAGTCCAGTCATTATAGTAAGTTTACCTCGGAATTCGAGATACCCAACTGTGAGTCTTGTATATACTAGTCTACTATATACAACTTGAATACTTGTATATTGACACCCTGAAGTTGTCTCAAAACCTTCATATGGTATTGACAATCTACCATATGTAGGTTTTGAGACAACTTTTAGGGTGTCAATATACAAGTATTTACAGACTTACAGCTGGGTATCTCGAACTCCGAGATTCCTACCCAATTTAAGCTTAAATAACTGGACTAAATATGTGCTGTTAGAAACAATCAAATATTTTATTTTATTTTGGTTAGAACTTAATAAAAATTACTCAGCTTATTTGGAAGCAAGTGTTAGGTTTTTGTTTCCTCTAAATAAAAAATCATTGTGCTCTCTTACCATGGTCTACTCTTTCAAAATGTATTGAACAGGACTAATTAATACTCACAATCAGTAATATAATATCACTTATATTAAGTATTCTAATATAAGTAATAGAAATATTATGAGTACTATGATATTACTTATAAGTAATATAATAATATAATATAGAAATACATGCATCATTTAGGGTAGTATTGCAAATATGTAATGAAATTAGATGCTTGTATTTATGAATATAATTTGAATAAAAAAAATAATTTGGTATTTATTAGGTACTTTATTTACACAATCGATAGTGTGATCAGTGCAAAAAATTGGAAGCAAAAAAATCATATCATATCATGTTGTTTTCATTGTTTTACATTGTATTGTTGAATAAAATATTAAATAAATGCGGTGCTCTTGAAGAATAATAGAAAACTATATAGCATTTCGAACTTCAAATTAAACTGAATGTTTAATAAACACATCTAGCAATATGTACTTATTTGAAAAATTATATGAACAGCTGCAGGATGAGTATCCTAATTTTCAAATTCAATAAGAACTTTGTTTTTGCCAAAAATCGAATCTGCAAATTATATGTTTTCTAGACGTTTCAAAGCATTTGTTCGGACGTCTTTTCATTTTATTATATTGGCAATGAAGATGACAAACTTCAGGGCATTAAGCTTTACACGGAATGGTTGCTACCCCTGGTAGAGGGTGTAGCGGAGTGTATTAATTGAACTAGTTGTTTACTTCTAAAAGTAAAGTCCGCGAAAAAAAACATGTAAATAACCAATAAAAAGAAATATGTCTTTTTTCATTTATAACTTTGTAACAAATCAGTGATCGTAATTAGAACTGCGCAAATACATAATATACAAACAAATCAGTGTTTAATACTGTCCACAGTTACAAGGGTTAAATTATAATCCAACAACCTGAGTATCGAAGGAGAGTTTTAATGAATTCTATAACTTCGTAACAAAAGTACAGCATTCTTAACTATTTGACACAGAAATTGGAAAAAGTATGAGTCTGTAATAAGCCAAAACTCTTTTTTACCATTTAAAAACCCTTGAATACAACTCGACAAGCACTCGATTTGAAGAGTTTTTCACGACACTCAGTTGAGCAGTTTCTTTACAATTAAAGTCCTGTTTCTATTATAAAAGTTCAATAGAGGGTTGGTCAGTTTTCAAAAACCGTTTTTAAGAGAAAATTTTGGTTTTCAAAAACCGTTTCTTAGGTAGAAAATACACTTGAAAAATTCAAAATGGCAGTTGTATTGTGGCCACATATGACAGATTAATGAAAATACCTTTGCAAATCAGTAGCCGTCTTTTATAAGTAAAAAATATGCATAAACAACAAATAATTCATTTTGTTTGAAGTTTTGAATTATTCTTTCATTGTTTTATTCGAAACTGGTCGCCCGTATTTTGAAAAAAAAGTTTTCTTAACTGTCGGTTATTGTACACACCCTAGTACACACAAATCTATTCCTTAAATATTACTTTTAATATGGCGACATATATTAAAATCGTAATAAGTTGAGTTTTGTAATATCAGTAAATATTATTGTAATTACCTTTGAATTCTACACAGAAAACAAATTGTGATCCCAATTCACTAAACATTTACACATCAAAAGCGTATCTCCATCTAATGTTCGCGAGTACTATTTCGGATAAATAACCACTGATTTTCACAATTTGTTTGGTTTCCATAATGCAAAAATGAATCAAAACTTTATTAACACTTATTATTAATTAATTTAACATCTAAACTTGTTTATATACTAAAATTCTGATAAGAAACTGTTAACGCGGTTTAAATCTGACATTTATAAATGACATAGTGATTGGTGTGAAGTACACCGAAGACACTAGCGCATGGGGATCAGGCTGGCCACATGTAACACAAGATGGAGACTTGAATATAGGAATAGTGGAATCATGCTCATATATCTCTGGTAAGATTCTTATTAAAAATACATAAGAAATATTTTAAATAAGTTCAGTGATAGAAATCTATCAAATTTGATATATAAATCGTTAAGAATAATAATATTAAAGGCGTTTTACGAACATTTTCTAGTACTAATTATCTAGTATATAGTAGGTAGGTGGGTTATATATACGCACATATTAATCTACACATATTATAAAATTATTATTATTTAATCTTATAGTACTATTATATATACACACAATTTGTAGGTACTATTGTTTACACAGAATACACAATTAGTAGGTAATATTGTTTACATATGCAGTACTGATATCAAGGCACTATTATTTACACCTAGTATATAGTATTTATAAATACAAATATGTATTTATAAGTATATATTATACTTATTGCACTTTTATTTTATGTATGAGGCTATCAGAATTCTCATTTTATGAAAGTTTCAATGTGCTTTGAAAGCACACTGCTATGTTTCGAAAAACAAAATGCTTACCAAAATTGTCTATACCTACAAATCATTTAATTATAATCATTGCATTATAAACCAACACTGCTTATTATGTGGTTTATAGGATTTAATATGTTTTCGTAGTTGTTACATATTTTGTTTCCTTATAATCAGATTTTACTGATGATTATTCGATAGTATTACAGAATCTAAATATCACTATTTCGGTTTTTAATATGGTACTTTTCCACAAATTTGTTAAATATGTATTTACTTATCCCTTATGTATACACAACTGTTTCCAGGTCATTGAAAATGTTTTTCACATTTTTGTTTGAATATTTTTATTGAATCCATGTCCGACTTCTTTTTAAAATCTCAAGATACCAGTGGACCTTTTCCGAATAAAAATTCCAACTATTTTTTCGTAGGTTTGCTAAACATCTCGGGCTTTTTCTTCGTTTTCCCTGTTCTAAAAATGCACCCAATCTTTTTAGTTTCTTTTTAGAACAGCTTTGGAAGAATATTCTTTTTCAATCTTACAGATTATAACATACATTACGTATAACTATCTTGTATAATTAACTCGTTTTGTTTACAGAATCAAATCTTGCACCTTTTATTGTTTACAAATATAACGCTTTCACTTTAAAGGGGGCTCACGAAATGAATTAAACGAGTTCAAAGCCAAATGAAAGTGATGAAGGGCTTTTTTACGTGAACACACGCTATTCTGTTAGCAAGTATTATCTTTTAAAACATAGAACAAACTTTCTATCACAACAATGGAAGAATCCATCAATATTGTTTTTGATGATGCTAATAAAATATTAAATGAATTTATAGCTTTGCAAAAAAATAAACAAAACAAAAGTTTATTTCATTACATTTAATTATGTTCTTTATAACATAAATATGCTAACTATCTTTTTAAATGAATTTGATTTTTAATACCTTTATTTGATTATTTTACTGCACGATCAAGTTAGAAACTAACTGGGTTGTAAATTACTATCTAGGTAAGTAACTAACTAACGCAAATTGTAACAATTTTCTGATAAGTGTGTTTAATCGACTTAATCAATGAGATTGAATATAGTGATTTCCAAGATATGACAATAAATATTTAAATTCGTATGGTTAAACTACATGTCGTGGGTCTGTTTTAGATTGTTCTTTGAGGCCATGAATTGTACAAAAAACGGCCGGCCTATCTTCACCAAAACCTAATTAGGACGATTTCCAACTACTATCTTTCGAACAGTTTTTAAACTTGTAAAATCGATGTAGGATTTTTGGCCAATCCGTGGACTAAAAATGTTGTTTCTATCTGTTAATTGGAAATAAATGGCTCGATTGATCTTCTGATTGAGAAACAAATCAACGAGGGTGCTTATTGATTTTCATCAAAAGTCATTAAAATTTTTGAAATCGGTGCAGTCATGATTAAGAAAACGTCTAAGAAAAGCCAAATTTTTTCTCACATATGTACATAATAAAAACCAGAGCAATCTCACAAAAAGCTGAAATGTTGGAAATGCTCGAATATATAAACCTAGAAGGAGAAGTTTATATTTTCCGATTGAAACGTTCAGTTTCCTGGACGTTTCAAGTTATTCTGAATCGTATGACATTAAACTCATACACCTATATTAAAGCATTTCCAACATTTCAGCATTTTGCAGTATTGCTTTAGTTTTGTATGTTTATTTATCAACATATTATTAGTCATTAATTATCGATTTCTATAATATCAGATCAAATCTATATTCAATTAACATAAATTTATAAGATTGCGAGCATAAAGCATGTTTCACATTTTGTGGTAAATAGATCGTTATTGAAAAATTAACACTCACACACACACACATGTATATATATATATATATATATATATATATATATATATATATCTTGATATGATTTTCAGCCAGTCGACGAAATAAAAGAAACTAATAAATACAAAATATTTATTTAAAATATACGTTTCGACACGGATTGTGTGTCATCATTCAGCAATTCTTTGTTAACAGTATCACACCAGGAAAAAACAAAACAAACATTATTTAACAAAATAATTACATATACATTACAAATAAAAAAATAAAAAAATATATAAACTAACAATATTAACTGAAACTTGTTTTGATTTTGATTTTTATTACCTAATTATTACATA